TTTTTGGAATATCCTCTGGCGATTTCTGGAAAGTTTTTGTCCGTTGAGACCTAACAACAGAGATAACTTACGTCTCCTTACGCTGTGTAACAGAACTTTTAACCTCAAATTAAGACGTTTTATTAAGTTGATTAAAGAATCCAAGCTTCAGGTTTTTTAAACACTATCATTGTTATTATTACCATTATCACTGACTTAGGAATGGTCATTTACCATTAATGTTATTTCAAGAACGAGTACACATGTTGTTCGTTTAAAGGGTTTGTTTGTCAGTCATTCGCCCAGGACTATTTCAATTTAGTATTCTGTTTTGAGTTATAGTTGGTTTGGTAGTTTAGGTTTGCTTTTAATAAGGATAATGATTTATGTAGCGCATGCTACATGACGTTATGATCGCGTTCGGTTTACAAAAAGTATATACAAATAAGATAAAATCAGCAGATAAAATACCATAAAATACTTAAGTCACTTAATTAAAAATTACAACTGTTGCTTTTTGAACAAAGTTGTCCGAGGTAATTTTATAACACTACTTCACTAAGAAATGTAAATTTCACTACGAAAAGTTGGAATAGGAACGCTGAGACAACTTTTCTAGAATATGTAGTAAAATTGTTAAAAAAAACCATTGCTTGCATAGTTAACGTAACTATGTCATACGACATTTTAAAAACATAAATTCCAGTACATTTTGATACTTTTAAAGTGAGGGGGGGGGGGACAGGGGGGTCAGATTTTCTCGCTCCCCGTGCCACGTTCTGATTCCCACAATGTCAGTCAAACTATTCCCTTCGATAAACAAAGTCATAACGGTGACCCAAACACTTAGATGATCACGTACCTAAATAATTATAATGAAAACTAAGAACATCTCTCATGCGAGTGAAACATCTTACAAGACAAGGACTGGGCTCTGTTCTAAGCAGAGACCTCACTTTGAAGTTGAACGGAAAAACTTTAGACCTTTTATTTTCCAGTCACTGCCAGTCAACGCATCAGACAAGTAGTTCCTCCCTTCAACAGTAATACTTGAATTGCCTCTAAGGTCTAAATTGCCTAGTTTGCAGTTGATATCAGTCAGAGCATTAAACAAATAATTCACTCCTTCATCGGCAACGCGACAGTGTCTGATGTTAAGGCTAGTCAACTTGGATGCACTACTGATTAATGTTGTACACAAGTGCTTTAATCCTTCATTTCCGACGTTATTGTAACTGACATCCAAGAACATTAGTTTGCAATTACCCGAGGTTATTGCTTCAGACAAGAGTTTCATCCCTTCATTTCCAAGAGAATTGACACGCAAATCCAGCCTAGTTAGCTCGCAGTTACTGCTAACTAGTGCTTCACAAATGTGCGTGATTCCCTTATCCCCAAAGTGATTGCCACTGACACTTAAACTGGTTAATTTCTTGCAATTTCTATAAGCTATCGCCTTGTACAAGTGCTTGATTCCTTGTTGCGATAAACTACTGTAATCAAGGGTCAACCTGTTTAGATCACTGTGACTAAGAGCTAAAGATAAATTCTTCACACCTTCATCACTTATGGGACTCCTGGAGAGGATCAATCTTGTTATTTTTAAGGGAGCGGAGGATTGGGAGATTGCCTTACAGAGTATGACCAAATCATGATCTTCGTCCGTTGGCCACCAATTCAATGTGCCTGATTCCGAACTGTAACACAATGGAAGGCCGATCCACTCGTCATCTTGAGCATCATCCAAGGTGGGCAATGATGAATGCACAAAACGAGGAAGGCCATCCAAGTACTCCAAAACCACTTGCCATTTTCCTTTTCTGATGTGCGAAGTGAGTAATGTATCAAGACCGCCCTATTCTTTCTTAGTTCTTCTAGTTTCTAGGACTGTCGAATAAAAAAAATATATGAAGTATTAAACTGTTACTTAAAAAACTTGAGCTTTGAGTTTCGGACGAAAAAAAAAAATTAATTAGATGAAATTTCATTAAGAACCTTGGCTTCAACATTTTTGAGAAACTAAATTTGACTTGAGAAAAATTCTAAAAACTTTCTCCAAGAACGTTTTCTGTTTTAACATTATAGCATTACTCTTAAGAAACTTACCACCTTCGTTCTCATCGATAAGATCAGTGGTAGAAATTACGGCAAAAGGGGAGGTAACTTAAAAGAAAAAGCACAGAAGAAAATAAGCTGTCATTGCCTTATTGTAAAAATAAAAACTAACAAAACCATCGTGAAATTGTGCCCACTTTCACATGTTTACAGGGCTCATTTCACAAACAATGACTGGTACTAAAGCCTAACTAAATGTACATGGGCCTTGTGAATGCAAATAGTCTCGTTTGTCTAATACATCATCCAAGAAAACTGCTACATGTATTGAGATTGGTGCTGTTTAATCCACCAATGATATGACCAACTCAAAACTCCCTTTGTGAAGAATACATTAAGGAAAAAGTATGTACAAAACATTTCTCCTATTTACTACAAGAAAAAATTGTTGAATACAGCTGCACTTAAAAGCTGAATCAACAAACCTCTATGAGGGATGGTGGGAGAAAAAAAAATACTACACTGGAGTTAATTTCCCAGAAAAATAATACCTGATTTAAGATCTGAAAGCAGTTTACACTTACTTTCTTTCCTATAATCTGGCCAACGCTGATATTCCCCTTCTTCTTGTAGTTTCATTAATTCGAAAAGATCTTCTACTTTTCTTTCAGGACCAGAGGTGAATGATGCAGCAGAGTGTGAAGTACCTTAGGGTAAAAGTGCACATGGAAAATTTGGTGTTTAGCGTCCCAATTTAGTAAGGTTTTTTTTTTAAGTTGTATCAACAAGTTGTAGTTATGATTGTCATTGTAATATTAGTGAACTGTGAAAGTTATTTTCATGATCCTTGACAGAAATACAATTACTGTTCAACAAAGCAACACTTCATTAAAAGTAAACAGTTTCCATGGAAACCAGAGCACAATTTTTTTTTTTTGGGTTTACTTTCTTATTGAAAAAAATGTCTGAAAGTTTTGGTGTTCACCTTTGACTTTCTCTGGCTGTACAACCTCTTTCTTCTGTTCCTGTTCATTGAGCTCTCCTAATCTTTGCCAACTTTCAATGACAGTGGACCTTACCAAGTGGGACTGAGAGGCTAAAGCTTCTTCTCCATGATCAATGGTAGAGAATATGGAGGAAAGGATGGCTACAGACAGAGATATCAAACATTCATGCTTTGTTGTAAAGTTGATGTAAACAGCAGGGATAGTAACATGACACTAGAGTTGACATCTATCTATTTCTTGTGTCTGGAGGGCTCATCTCACCGGAAAACAGGGACAGCAATCATTAGTTCCATTTATTATTAATATCAATTTTTTTCATATTTTGTACCAAACAAATGTCATTGCACAGGGATAATTCTTCAAAAGTTCATCGCATATTAACTAGCTATTACTGTGACAAGACAAGTAGTTTTATCTAGAGATGAAACTGGACCTTTCTCTTCATGATCTCTCTCTGCAAACCTAGTGGTGTTATATGTTAGAAAGGAAACACCCCTGCTCACAATCCTTTACAAATAATTTACAAAAGGACCAGGTTACTCCCTTATCACTAACCTCTGAGTGCAGCCTTGTCAAAGTGGGCTCTGTATGCATCGTACTCTTCCTCATCCATAGTTATTTTCAACTTCAGCTCACTCAGGTTCAGTTCCTTCAAGATCTTTTCAGTGACAAAACAAACCTGAACAATCTTCTCCAAATGGCCACATGAGTAATCTTCCCACAGCTCCTCCAAGCTCTTAAGAGAATCACACTTCACTGTTATCACCAAACTTCCTACAGAAACACCTGAAATGACAACTCTCATTTTTTCCAAGTATTGCATAAACTCATTATGCTCTTCATTAGACTGTGGTGGTGTAGTCTGAAGATAGTTTAATGCAATTAAACACAAGGCTTTTCCTTTGAGTGCTTGGAGATCATCTATTTCTGTATCAGATCTCCTTTTCCTGCATGTGCCTAATGCTGTGCTTGTCCTCTGACATCCAGCATTCTCTGAAGCTGTGCTGTGCTTGTCGGCATCTGCAGGTTTCAGGTCTTCCACATCAACATTGACATTTAATTTTCCATCTGTTGATTTGGAACAAATATTCTCAGTTAAAATTGTACTTCAAATCCACTGATCCATATTCAGTGCAAAAGACAGTAGATACTATTTATTTATTGACCCAGGAAAGATAAAGATGGCTGGACCATCTTGGTCTATACAAATGCAAAAAAACGACAGGACTAACAACCAGCCATCTTGATCAAACAAGCTTGGTCAATAAATAATTTATTTCATTATGTAACTGTGCTTCATAGAGTACAGAGTACAAATATCTGGCAATATTTGTACCCTAGAAATTCTAATCCATGAAAATATTTGTACTCTAGAGTTTCTAGAGCACAATATTTGTACTCAGATACAATGAAATATATGAAGTTCATATATTTTGAACTGCGGTATTAGATACGTATGATGCACGATCCTCGCAGTAGATAGCACTATTTAAGCAATAGTGATAATCAGACCTGAAAAAAATCAGGCCTGTACGGGATTCGAACCACTGACCTTTGCGATACTAGTGCAGCGCTCTACCAATTGAGCTAACAAGCCAACTGGGAGCAGACCGTTAAGTTGATTCGTAATAAACCCGTGAAAGTGATAAATCAGATACAATGAAATATATGAAGTTCATATATTTTGAACTGCGGTATTAGATACGTATGATGCATGATCCTCGCAGTAGATAGCACTATTTAAGCAATTGACGTGTTAGCTCAATTGGTAGAGCGCTGCAGTAGTATCGCAGAGGTCAGTGGTTCGAATCCCGTACAGGCCTGAAATTTTTTTTTTTTTTTTCAGGTCTGATTTCCGCTATTGCTTAAATAGCGCTATCTACTGCGAAGATCGTGCATCATACGTAATATTTGTACTGTAGAAACTCTAATCCATGAAATTCACCTGCACTGAAATAACAATTTGGCATGTTGGATAATAAATCTCTTATTAGACATTTTGTTGAGGAGAATCTGTGCGTATTTTTACTCGTTGTTTGTATTTTGACTTGCCCTACCAGCTTGTCAAAGTACGGCACAACTCATAAAAATAATAAGCGACACTACCCAACAAAGCGTCTAATAAGATTATATATATATATATTGCAAAAAAATTTTGCTTTGATAAGAATATCAGAATTAAGAAGGACCTGTTTGTTTTTGAGTGCTGGGAAAGAAAGCCTAGTGTGAAAGTGCATGATAGTTTTTCATTTCACAAAATTGAAAATAACCTGATTTGATAGGTTTATGATGATAATTTAGAGTAAACACTCTCAGTTTAATGAAAACTGTGAACTTTGCAGGTCCACCAAACAAAATTTTTTTACTTCCACAAGATCAAAGCTGGCAATCCCATCTTGCCCACCTCACTAGTCAATCAGAAAACAAGATTTAATTGATCTTGCCAAGGGTACTGCCAGCTTTATAATAAGATAAGTTCTTATGTCAAACATATCATCTGACTGCAAATGGACAATCTTGCATTAATTTTGAAGCTAGTAATATGACTAGACATCCTTGTGCTATTTATATGCATACAATTGTCAGCATCTTTGGCACAATAGAACAGATTGTAGATGCTAGATCTTAACAGCTTCTTATGCATGACATCTATTTTACATAAGCAACAATAAAACTAAACAACATACACTACCATTTGAAGTTTTGACTACATTCTTGATCACTCCTTTAAACCTCTCACATTGTGTTCTCCAAGAGTAAACCTTCCTGTAGTTCTCACGCAGCTTCATGGCATTGGTTTGTCGCTCCTCTGGACTTTGACTGGACAACTCTTTAATCCTTTGCGCCCATTGAGTTGCATCATCATCTGATTCAACAATTACAGACTGTCCACCATCTACGTTTTGCAAAGCCTCAGCTATTCCCGATTCACCAGAAACAAGGACAGGAACACAAGCAGAGATGGCCTCCAGGGCTACTAACCCGAAGCCTTCAGTACGGGAAGGCAGGGAGACCAAATCTGACTGATAAAACATCAACTTGAGTTCCTCTTGTTCGCTGCAATAACCACGGATGGTAAGTTGGTTCCGGGTTACACAGGTTTTTTCAAGAAACCACTGTTCCACTTTTCGGTGCTCACCAGGAGATGAGCCAACAAAAGTAAGATTGAACTTCTTACCAAGAGAACCAATGGCATTTGCAATGATGTCATAGCCTTTGAGGGAAAGATCCTCAAAGGCCGCTCGACCAAACATAAACACGGTAAAGTTCTTTACAACTGATCTGTCGACTGCTACCCATGACTCACTCGAAAACTTTTCAAAGATCCCAGGAGTAATAATGTCCACTTTAACATTAAGAAGACTCCTGCTGTACTTCTGCTGTAGACGAGAGCCAACGGCCACAACCGCATCCGCTGCTTTACACAACTCAATTTCCATCTTGTGCTTCTTCTCGTTCTCTTCGATTGTATCTGTTGCAGCCATAGTTGTTTTCTTATATTTCCCAAGGTCTTCACAGTAGACATGGACAAATTGAATCCATTTACACTTTGTATTCTGTACCAGGGAAAATGCAGGACCACCCAACTTTCTTCCATGGCCTATCACCAGTTGTGGGTTTGGGAGCTTGGAGGGTGGAAACTTCAAGCACTCAATGGAGTCCGCTGAACCAGGAACACTTATAGCTGTGATTAAATTCACACCATGTTGTTTGGCATCTTCTCTATCTTGATCATCGCTTTTCGAGACGTAGCAGTGGATTTTCATGCTGTCAGTCGTCGCTTGGGCCAAATTAATCGCAAATTCTCGATTGAAAGTTGACAATCCACCCTTCGAAGATTTCCACTCGTCGCAGAGAAACATGACATCAATAAGCCTCTGTTCTTTCTGCTCCTCTTCGCTTCTTGTCGCAGTCCAAGCTTCAAAGCACGCCATTTAAAGTTTTTTTTTTCACCCCTGCTGTCGATGTTCTGCTAAAGATCTCAAGGCAACGCTTTAGCAGGTGTTCAGCGAAACACGTTTCTTCCTGTATGTTCCCACATTTTGACTAAGAATATCTAAAATGAACTACCCTAGGAACTTCCTATTGGTTCTGAAATCTTTATGGCTCACAGTTTTGCACAAAGATAATGTGAGGTTGTTTCAACCGGTTGGGATCAACCGTTGTTGAGAAAGGCAGCTGAAATTCGATCGTGACCGTAAGCGTGTGGGGGACTGGGTCGATAGAATCAAACATGGCGGACAGGTGAAGGACTTTTTTTCAGACAATTTTGATGTTTCCTGCACTCTAGAAATCATCGTTGAATGGATTTGTGTGATCCCGTTAGCATTATTTTAGTGACAGCCGGTAGCAGAGGACAGAGTCTATTATTTCGTTATCCATATTTACCGCCTTCTCAGACTAAGAGGAGAGAAAAAGGTGCTTATAGCTATAGAGTGGACTATTTGTACTAGATGGGCCATGCTGCAGGCCTCGACGAAATTTAGCGCGAACAGAGGCATTTAAACTTTTGCGTGGAATGAGGTTTTACGGAAAAAAATCTCCTTTTTGTACTTGTTGCACACTCCAGCTTCAGGCTGGTAAATCGCCACAGTTGTGAATTCTTAAACTTCTTTCACTTTACGAGTGAAACTAAACTTCTGCACGCACTTGCCTTTTAGAAATCCCCAAGAATCGTTTCGCCTTAGGTAAAGTCGAAGAGAGTACGGACACAAGGTACACATTGCTTATTCATGCACAAGTCAAAGTAGATCCATGTACATTGTTGGAATGGGGTGGGGACATTAGGGTTTACATTGACTGGTGCAAATTAATTTAAGCACTGATTCAAAAGTATTTTTTGACCTGGATAGAGTGACGAAGATTCGAGTCGTCATTTCTGTTTTTATTTTACAATTGTATGGGGTATTGAACACCATGCAGAAGGGTGGATGACATTTTAAGGACGTGCCCTTAATATTTTTTTTTTTTTATCATAATTAATGGTACATTTTCAAAGTTCTGTTGAATTTTATGGCGCTATAAAATTGGGATGAGCATAGAGAATCCCCCATGAGTAGTGCCAAGGTTAAATTATTGTTACCTTAACCTGACTGTGCAAAGAAATAGAAAAAGGTTTTATTTTGTTTGTTGGAATTTTATCACTGTCTACATCACCTGCTTTTCAGAAATTTTTCTGGAATCAAAGATGGTTATCTCATTGGGTGAGTTCAATAATCATACATGTTTTGAACATGATTTGAAATAATTTGAGGTAATTGAAACAAAATTGATTGCACAGTGGATAACCCAGTCATTATCAAAATTCACTCTCATTTTCCACTGAACCTGTGAAAAGATGATAACCTTCTTATTAATTAAATGAAGAATGAAAATCTTGCCTTCTTTTTACTCAAAGACTCTCAACTCCTTGCCAACCACTAAAATTTAATGACTGGTCCCTTAGATTGTGGATTAATACTCTTGAGACCACAATAATTGCTATCACTGTTGTCATAGCAATTGTTATTGTTATTAAGAGCAATTTATCCGTGTTCTATACTGTATGTATTGTTGGCAAAGCAGTAAATTAAATTAACCCATTAACACCCTAAGAATGATCAGCATCTAATTTCTCCTTACACTAATATGGTTGAATCCTCCATGAAGGTCGTAAGAATAAATGAAATGATCACCAAGCTAAGAATTTTTGATTGTTGAATGAATTCTCCTTGTCAGTAACAAAGGAAATGTATAGACAAGAGTAGAGAGAATGTGGATAATGATGTTAGGGTGTAAAGGGTTAATTCCCATGAATAAACTCTTCAACAGCTGGTGAGGAATTCTAATAAAGTGGCATAAATGGCAGTGAAATAAACTAACTGGAACTCTGCTTTCAGGCCTGGCATAATTTATATTTAACAATTATTTGCTGAAGGCGAGGTGAATATCATCGAATAATCCCCGAGACAAAGTCGAGGGGATTATTCAACAATATTCACCGAACCTGAGGTGAATAATTGTTTGAGTATAATTTTAGAGCTGAACAACAGAGAAAGTTCTAAAATCATAATATTTTAGTAACATTTATTAAAATTTTATTTTAACATTTTATATAAGCTGCATGGAGCGGTTGATATAGCATCATATAAGGAACCGCTAGGCCAATCAGATTGCTGGAAACTCTGCTCAGCTCTGAAATTATACTAAATTATTATAACTGTAATTTGGTTTCACCAGCTGTGTTAACGAAGGGCTACTGCTCAAAACATCAGCTTTTAAACTCTTCACAGTGACCAATTTACGTTCTCAACTCAGTTGGTAAAACTAAATTACCTTCAGTTGTTAACCCCACCAATGCAACACCACAGTTTCTCTAGAACTTATTTACCCCCTTTATATATTATAATTGTAGTTGGTTTCTCTCTAATACCCCACCCTTCTATGGCATGACAATTTTCAAACTCAATCTTCTAGTCTTTGAAAACAGACATTGATTTCATATTTTTTTAATTAACCTGCAGTGTTTAAATCTAAAATTAAGCATTTTTGCTGGCATTGTTTCTTTTCAGATTTTCTGACAGGACACTGGCAAATATTTTGTCGCCAAAATCTAATGCATGTGGTAATAAATTTGAGTTGAAAATTGATGAGGTATTATTTGTGGGCCATCCAATGCTGGCTTATGAAAGACAAGACAGAGAATTCAAGGTATGTGCTTATTATCTTGTCATTATTGATAACTGATAAAGCACATATTACCTAGTGGTCTGCTTTTGAGTGATTAACCAAATAAGATGACCTTAAAATCAGGGTCTGATTTGTCAGTAACAAATATGATTTAACACCAAATTTGTCCACTCAAAATTGTTTCATCAAATCAAAGGGACAGAACACCCCTCTTAAAATTAGGGCCCACAAATAAAATTGTGACAGTGCAGGGTTGGAAAAATATTTTGAGTAACAAGACTATGGCACAAAGTACAAAGCACATTGTCATGCTTCCATGCTAAAATCTGAGCCACAAGAAATCAAAATTTAATTCTCCTTGCTGTCTGCCTTACAATTCTTGTAATGCGTGATGTTAGTTCTAAGAATTTGTTATTGGATCAACTAATAATTCCCATTAAGAGTTTTTTTTTTTAATATTCTCATCACTTGTCTGTTTGGAATTGTACTGATATTGTAGAGAAAACTTTTGCCTTCATTTGGGCTCTCGTGGGAGTGAAACAGTTTTGTTCAGTGAAATCACTTCTGTGGGTTTAGTTGTTTACAGAATTATATGAAATATTTTCAATTTTATTTTACAGAGAAGTGATACCACTTCAAGAAAGGATGATGTTATGATGAAGCTGTTCAATGTTGTCTTTGTACTTCAGGTGGAGACAGATTGTTAACATTTGCATGTTTTACAATTCTTGCAGCTACGAGTCTCCTGTAATTTCTTTTAGACAGAGCATCAGAACCAGTAACCACACTCAGCTCCTTTTGAAAGCACAAGGAGTTTCTTGTTTGTGAGTTTACTGACTGATGCTACCATTCCTTTTTAATTTCACAGCCCTAACATGTAATCATAGTTTTTATCATGGTGCAAAATAAACCTATTGTGAAGATAATATATGATGTAACTATGTTTTGCTTATTTCAAGCTATTTTAGTAATATTGTTTTGATTAAGGTGTGTATTTCTGTTGAATGGCTGTGGTTAGTTAATGAAAGAACTTGAACTTCAAATGGATCTATAAAAGTCAATTAAAAGTCAATGTTCCATACTCTTCCCTGAATGGTTATCAAGTAAAACAATGTCATGTAACTGTAGGGCTCTTTACCCAACTCATGATCTCCTCTTATATACCTCTTTGCCTTATCAATTTTTTAGGCGAGTGTAGAACCCTCTGTTGTTCACTGTTACCATGACTTATCCAAGAGAATAGCAATTGCTCTAAGACATGAGGAGATAAGGTATTCTTAAGATACAAATGAATAAAGGCTGATAGTTTCTAAAGAAACTGTTTGGGGCTGCATCGGTGGGGGTAACGTAGCTCCATTTTCTGCCTTTAAAAGCACACACAACCCACAATTCCTCTATTCGCTCTGATGAAGGGCTAATGCTTGAAACGTCAGCTTTTATAGTCATTACGGTGGCCAATTTACCATTTCAACTTTGTTGATATATCCAAATTATTCTTAAGATAGATATACAACAGAAATTATGTGATGCTAGATTTGGTTGAATTAAATGCTAATTTATTTTTTCAACAGATGGATGTCATTTTGTTGTCATGTAAATTTATTGAATGTATGTCATAGTGAACAGTTGATTAAGGTATAGCTTAGCATTGCTGCAAATCAAGAGGATAAGGAACTTTATATCTTTTTTGTTTGCAAAAAAAATATGAGGAAATAGATGGGTACTTTACCTGAAATAACAAGCAATACTTTTTGTTGATTCATGCTTTGAAAACCAGTCCATCCATGGGGAGTGACACAAAATCTTTGTCTCCTTCAGCTATCAGTCATCACAATACACAAAAAATTTGTTTATCACTGTTGTTTCTAGATGTAGATATCTGAGCTCTGAAAGGGAAATTATTCTTTCTGTTCATGACGAAATGGCAACGATGCCTGAAGGTATGACTTAGGGAAATTTAGTTCACTAGTTTTGATGCGAATGTGTTTTCTTTCAGTAAAGAGAATTTGTTTTCAAATGGGGTTCCTTTTCCCTTCCTGTTCACCCTGGTTTATTCCCTGGTTATGGATGTTTGTGGCCTGCAGAACACGTGTTGTTTTTGAGCGTAGTTTTCAGAGGGAGAAATCTAGGGGTGAGGCAAGGGCAAAGGGTAAGTCACATGTGAGATGAGCAGGGTGCAATACGTTGCCTCCTTACCTTCCACATGCTTAGAAATACAACTTTTGCAAATTGCAAAATTTACTAGACTTTTACTAAATAGTGTATCTTTGCAGCATCCTAGAGTATGTTGACACAAATGTAAAAAGATAACTCTGTAGAAAATCTTGCAAATTTGAGATATAATCATCAGAACGAATTATACAGCAAATGGTGAATGAAACCAGTGTTTTGGTTCTTATCACAAAACCATTTTCAAACATGGCACAGCTTCCCAGCTGGTTCTCTCTATATGTTATAACATGTCGCTCAATGTTCTACCATCTCTGTTCCATTTATAGGCTTTTTCAAGTTCATGCAATGTGTGCGAGGAACTCAATAACTATATATATCTTATTAACCAAGCTCGAGGACCGTACTGGGAGAATATCGGCCCGAGGTCTTGACAGTACGGACCGAGCGCAGCGAGGTCCGTACAAAAAAGACCGAGGGCCGATATTCTT